CTCCCCTGCCAGGTGAGGTTCAGAATGGGTCCGCCTTCCTTGCACTTGTACCCTGCCTCTCTGTCCAATGGGGACCCAGAGCAGCGTGCATTTTCTCTCCTCCGTTTTATCCTCAGAACAACCCTGTGAGGTAGGTGAGGTTGAGTGTGTGTGCCCAGCCAAAGGTCACCCAGTGAAATTCCACAGCAGAGTGGGGATTCGAACCTGGGTCTCCTAGATTCTGATCCAGCACTCTTAACCACTGCACCGTGCTGGCTCTCATCTGTGTGGCTTTTAGCATTTTCTCATGTTCCGTTGCTGATGATGCTGTTTCAAAGTATGCAGAACAGAAGTTTGAAGAGAACAGCTTCATATCTTAAATAGAGTGAATCCACCTCTGGGGCCTGGTTTTCGTCCAGGAGCCTCTACTTGCTGGCTTCTTTCTGCGTACTGTCAGAACGACAAAAGCCCACAGAGCTTTTGTGGTCTTTAATTTTGAAAGGCCTGAAAAATAGTCTTGTTTTGTACAGTATTTGCTTCCTGGCTGTATTTACTGAGCAGCATTAAAGAAGGATTTCATTTGTGCAATGGGTTGTCTGCTCTAAGTATTTTGAATATCCTGGATTTTAACCAGTTGGGTGCAGATTGGCTAAGCGGGGTAGATGTTTTCAAACAAATTAAATTAACGTGCTTGTAGAATATTCCCACGTTGCTCAAGTTAGCAGAACAAAGGGTTTGAAATTGCCCCAGAAACCTGTGGAAGAGGTCCTGTATTCTTACATCAGCCAGCCTTCACAACAAACTGTGAGAGTTAAGTTGTTGTCATTCCCACTTCCAAGACAAGAAAACTGAAGTTGAGCGAACGTGATCGGTGCCTGCTGGGCTGCATGGGGTATCGTTGTCTGAACAGCGATTTGAACCCAGGTCTTCTAAAAATACCCCTGTGAGGTTTTGCAGGATGGGATAATATCTGGAGGGTAAGCCGTTTCTCTAGAGAGCCAGTTTGGTGTAGTAGTTAGGAGCGCGGACTCTAGTCTGGGAGAACCGGGTTTGATTCCCCACTCCACATGCAGCCAGCTGGGTGACCTTGGGTCAGTCTCAAGTTCATTCAGAGCTGTTCTCTCATGAGTAGTTTATTTATTTAATTAGACTTTTACCCCGCCCTCCCACCGAGACGGCTCAGGGCGGCTTACAGTTGTTTAAAAACCAGTATAACAATTAATACGATATCAAGTCTAAAACAATACAATCAATAAAATATCCAGATACAGCGTATTAAAATTAAGACGTGGCGGCCATCTGTTATAAAGTGCTAGAACAGTCAGTGTGGTCTGAGCTATTAAAACGCTTGCCGGAACAGCTTGGTCTTTACCGCTCTACGGAATTGGTGAAGATCCCGCAGAGCTCGAATTTCATTTGGGAGCTGATTCCATAGTACTGGTGCAGCTAGGGAAAACGCCCTAGTTCTTGTCGATGTTAACTTAGCGTCCCTAGGGCCAGGGGGGACCAAGCGATTTTGCGACTCGGATCTCAGTGCCCTTGGGGGAACGTACGGGGAAAGGCGGTCGCTCAGGTAGACAGGACCACCAGACCATTTAGGGCTTTAGAGGTCATAACCAGCACCTTGAGGCGTATCCGGAATGCTATTGGCAGCCAGTGCAGCCATCTCAGCACAGGTTGGATGTGCTTCCTCACGGGGAGACCCATCAACAACCTGGCCGTGGCATTCTGCACCAGCTGCAGCTTCCGGAGTTGCCCCAAGGGCAGCCCCATGTAGAGAGCATTGCAGTAATCCAACCTCGAGAGAGCTCTCTCAGGCCCACCTACCTCACAAGGTGTTTGTTGTGGGGAGGGTTAGGGAAAGGAGACTCCTTCAGGTAGTGAAGGGGGGGTATAAATCCAATCTCCTCCTCCTCCTCCTCCTCTTCTTCTTCTTGATTTCTTTGCATTTGGCTTTTTCTAGGTTGTCCTCGTCACCGACGGCAGCTTAGGCATCGGCAAGGGCTCCCTCCGCCACTCCTTAGCCACTCTCAGCCAGCAGAAGGAGAACCGCTTCCCCCTGCCGTTCCCCTTTCCGTCCAAGTTGTACATCATGTGCATGGCCAACCTGGAGGAGGTGGGTCTCCCTTGAGGGGCACATGGAAGGGCTGTGGCTTCACAAAGAGCAAGCAGGGATGCCAGCAGGTCGGACTTCAGGCTGGTACTAGTGTTACTTGCGTTAAACATATATCTGGGCGCAGGGGAGTAGCCGTGTGGGTCTGAAGCTGCAGAACAAAGTTCGAGTCCAGCGGCACCTTTAAGACCAACACAGTTTAATTCTGGGTATCAGCTTTCATGTGCAGGCACTCTACTAAATTTAAAAACTTTTAAAATGCGACTCCCGCAATCTTTCTCTGGTTCCATCTCTAGTTCCAGCTCCTGCCAACCTAGCAGTTCGAAAGCAAGAAATTGCAAGTAGATAAATAGGTACCACTTCGGTGGGAAGGTCACAGCGTTCCGTGTGCCTTGGTGTTAAGTCATGCCGGCCACATGACCACGGAAGCGTCTTCGGACAGCGCTGGCTCTTCAGCTTTGAAACGGAGATGAGCACCGCAACCCTGATTTGACTGGCTTTTGAGCAAGGGAACCTTTACCTTTACCTTTTACCCGCAATCTAAGAATCAATGCACAGAACTCAGCAACTGAATGTTCATTCATAGACCTTTATTGGCATATCATTAGTCATAAGGTGTATAAAACCTTGTATCGTAAAATTAAAATCTAAGATTCCACACAACTTTAGTACAATCAAAATAGGACTATCTAAAATTTTGTACCTTAAGAACTTTGGTAAGATCCTTAGTGATCTCAGGGATCGAATCATTCAAGAGAAGTTGACATTTTAACTTGTTACTCCAATTAACTTTGAGGATGAAGCCAAGTTAGAAGGAATTTTCTGCGAGGTAGCTCATACAGGGGCAATCGACAATTATATGCTCAGTCGTGTCCAGGGAGTTGAGATCACAGGGGCACAGCCGTTCTTGTCTTGGGATTTGATTATATCTGCCATAGAGTATTCTAGAGGGAAATGCGTCAACCCTGGCCAGAAGACAATCTCTGCGATGAAGAGGGATGTCGAGATTGTAAAAATATCGGGGCATCTTGCCTAAATGGTTAGAGAGGCCGAGCATGGCAGGTGAACAGAGATGAGGTTGGGTAGGGTGTAACTTTTGCAGATCAATATCTAAGAGTCATTGTTTGATTAGTTTAAAATATGAGGCTCATTGGTTAGGGTTAGGTCTTCAAGAGGAACCCCAAGCTGACTCAACTTACATACAATGATGGAATGCAACTGAATGTATAATCTCTGAATTCTTATCTGAGAGAAGCCAGTGAAGCCTCGCTTTGTTTGTATTAATTTAGTTCTGGGTGTAAGCTTTCATGTGTATACACACGAAAGCTTCAAAGAAGTGTGCGTGCCCACGAAACCTTATACCCAGAATAAAACTTTGTTGGTCTTAAAGGTGCCACTAGACTCAAACTTTGTTTTGATTTGATTTATTAGATTTCTACCCCGCCCGCCCGGCCTAGGCCGGCTCAGGGCGGCTTACATAAAAACAACATAACATTTACAATAATATAGAATAAAAATTAAACAGCATCAGTTAATACAAATAATGATTCTAAAAGCATAAAACACAATAAAGTGCTAGTAGTGATGATTCCACAGCGGTTGCTGTTGCTGAGTTCTCTCATCTCGCATTTGGCTCCTTGATCTTCTTAAATTGTCTCCGGTGGTTAGCTCAGGCTGTAAAGTCCCAGGGGAAACAGGGCTCTCTGAAGACCGTTCAACACCCCTTGCAGTGCAACATAGCTTCCCATGTATATATCTTGACCTGTTCTCGTTCTGTGCTTGGAGTGATGCTTTCTGTCGCTTACAGCTGCAGAGCTCAGATTCTTTAGACTGTCTGGAACGCCTGATAGATTTAAACAACGGGGAGGGACAGATCTTCACCATCGATGGACCCCTGTGCTTGAAGAACGTGCAGTCCATGTTCGGGTGAGTGGGTCTGTGGTTGGCCGAACTGTATGGGAGTGTCCTTGAGCATCTTTTACACATCCCGGAGTCTTGCATGGTTGGGCGCTGGCCTGTTTCGTGCTTTTCTTATTAATCACTCAATATTTTTTGTTGGGTGAATTACCCGTTAACTCTTCAGACAGGGTTGTCGTTCAGCCCCGGTGAATCAAACGAGTTTTCGGCTGATATTAGGAAGAACTTCCTGACAGTTGGAACGGTTCCTGAGTGGAACAGGCTTCCTCGAGAGGTGGTGGGATCTCCTTCTTTGGAGGTTTTTAAGCAGAGGCTCGATGGCCATCTGACAGCAATGCTGATTCTGTGAACTTAGGCAGATCCTGAGAGGGAGGGCAGGAAGGGTTGCCTCAGTGCTTAGTTCTCCTGGCCCTTTCTTACACGCCCAGGGAAATGCTGATCGCTACTTTGGGGTCAGGAAGCAATTTTTCTCCAGGCTGGTTTGGCCGGGGATCCTGGAGGGGTTTGTCATCTTCTGGGCATAGAAGAGGGGTCACTGCAGGTGTGGAGGGGAAGATATTTGTGAATTTCCTGCGTTGTTCGGGGGGTTGAGCTAGATGACCCTGGAGGTACCTGTGACGACCTCCTATTGGGGAGGACTAGGTTTCTCTTTAAATTATACTGGGTGTTTATAAAATAGGTAGTTCCGGCTGCCACCAGGAATTTTCTAAATTCCAGATCCACTCTCAGCTTCTTATGTTGGTATAGTGACCCAGGGTCTAGGGCTTTCAAGGGTCTCTGTGGTCCTGAGGAATAATTGATATGACTTCTGGGATTAACTTAAATAAAAGAGGATTGATGGAAAGGGGAACAAAATAAGAGGTTGGTTATTATGTAACTAGTTGGGAATAAGGTTCCTGTAAATGAGCGTGTCAACTGTATCACTTTAATACACATATACTGATCCTTCTCGGATCCCACACAGATTCTTTCACCTCTCTCACTGACTGAATTTCCACTGAACAACTTTTAACTGCTTTTTCCCAACCGTCTCTCCTAACTCTTTCATACATAACTTTCATAACTGACTAACTGACACTCACACAGATCCCCTTTAAAAACTCCTCCCGCACTCTCTCATCCTCCAATCACAGCACACTTGTCTCTCTCAATCATCTACTCTGCATTCACTTGCACTGCAACCCAACATTTAAAGAGACACACTCTTAAAACAAGGAATCGTTACAGTACCTTCCAACTTTATGATTCTATGATTGATTCACTCTCTTATTGAGTCAAGGGGGAGTTAGCAGTTCGAAACTTGGGGTGACTGAAGGCACTGTTCTTACTACGTGAAGACTTATTCCATCCTCTCCATCCTGAATCTACTGCCCATCAGCTGCATTGGATGCCTTCAAGTTCTAATATTGTGTGAGAAGACTGGATAGCAACAAAACTGTACCCGTGCCACCTCCCAAATTGGTTCCTCTATAACCCTGCCCCTCTCCTTGCGTCCAGCTATAGTTTAAGCAGCTTTAGAAAGGAATGAGCCAGATTCAGTTGTTGTCTGTTAACTGTGATGGCGATATGGAAGGAACCTCCAGGTTCAAGAGCAGTGCCTCTCTGAATACCCGTTGATGGGGCGCATCTCCAAGGAATACTTCGTCCTCCACGCTTAGGCCTTCAAGGAGCACCAGACTGGCCAGGGCAGGTTGCTGGACTAGATGGACCACTGGTCCCTGTCAGCACGCGAACAAAACGACAACATCCAATTTCCTCAGTGGGATCCACGACAGGTGTACTGATTCAAGACCTCTTAGCTACTCTGTTTAATGTAGAGTTGAGTCTAGCGTGCGTGCTTCTATACCAAAACAAAGTTATCCGGAGAAACAGCTCTGAGCAGCGGGAGATTTGAATTCCAAAAAACCTCCGTCTTGTATAGTTATCTTAGAATTTGTTGTGGTGGGTATAACTCCTACCCTCCCGTCGGTAAAATCTCTTGTTGTAGAAGCCTGAGGATCGAGATGGCATCAAGATAAGTTCCAGTTGGAATCCATGCAAGTTTAATTTACTTTTTACTTTAACATATTTTCTGTTCGGTTTTCCAAGTAATTATTGTTCTCTTGTTCTAGAAAGCTAATAGACGTGGCTTACACTCCGTTCCACGCAGTTCTGAAATGTGGTCACCTGTCTTCAGATGTGCAAGTGTTCCCCAGGCCGGAGCCATTCGTGATCGACGAGGAGATAGATCCTATCCCGAAAACCATTAATACAGGTAGGAGTGATTCTGGAACCTGTGATAAGCCTCTGCATTTGCTTTCCGCACTGTTTCTGCCTCTATCGCGAAGGCAGCAGAATGCCTTTGTCAGTCTCGAGGCTCATAGGTAAAATACGGACAGATGGACAGAGGGTGGATGTATTAAAGCATAAGAACTGCTGCCAGACTTCTCAACTCTGGCGCTGGCCTGGCGGAACACTCTCCCAAGTAAGATCCGGGCCCTGTGGGACCTAATGCAGTTCTGCAGGGCCTATAAAACGGAGATGTTCTACCAGGCCTGTGGTGGATGGAAATGAGCTGAACAACTGTGATGTTGTTATGCCAAGGAAAATATCCACAGACGTATAAGTTCTTATCCAGTATTCGGTTTGCTTGGAGTAATTCAGTCTCTTAAAAATCATTCATAATCACGCCATAAACACAACGGACTATGCATATCCGGTCTCATCTCGTTTACAACTTTGTCAAAGTCACCATGAAAAATGGCCATACTGCTCATTAAATGACCTGGAGGACGACATAGAGGGGATGCTTATCAAATTTGCAGATGACACGAAGCTGGGTGGGATTGCTAATTCTGAATGATCACAAGCTAAACATGAGCCTGCAGTGCGATGTGGCTGTGAAGAAAGCTAATACAATCTTAGGATGCATTAACAGAAGCATTGTGTCCAGATCACGGAAGGTGGTAGTTCCGCTCTATTCTGCTATGGTCAGGCCTCACCTGGAGTACCGTGTCCAGTTTTGGGCACCTCATTTTAGGAAGGATGTTGACAAGCTCGAGCGTGTCCAGAAGAGGGCGACCAAGATGGTGAGAGGGTTGGAATCCAAGTCTTATGAGGAAAGGCTGAAAGAGTTGGGTATGTTTAGCTTGGGAAAGAGAAGGCTTAGAGGGGACATGATTGCAGTCTTCAAGTATTTGATGGAGCAGATCTATTGTCTCTTGCTCCGGATTGCAAGACTAGATCTAATGGGTGGAAATTACAAGGGAGTCGTTACCAGCTAAATATCAGGAAAATGTCTTAACTGTAAGAGTGGTTGAGCAGTGGAACAGACTGCCTTGGGAGGTGGTGGATGCTCCTTCACTGGACGTTTTCAAGCGGAGGCTGGACGTCCATCTTTCAGGTATGTTGTAGGGCTATCTTTCAGCTATGCTCCTGCAGAGTGCAGGGGGCTGGACTAGATGACCTGTAAGGTCCCTTTCAACTAACATTCTATGATTCTACGAATTATACAGAATTATACAGAAATTTCAATGCTGTACAATTTGATTTTTGAGGGATTGAATTACTCCAAGTAAACTGAATACTGGATAAGAACTTAGAATCATAGACGGGGAAAAAAGTGGAGCAGGCAAACGAGAAAATTAAAGAGATTGACACCACAAGTAAGAAGTTGAAGAAAAGGATGGGAGAGGTGGAAATGAAGCAGAATTGCCAAGAGAATCGAGTCTTGCAGCTTCAGATGGAAAAAGCTAACATGATTCTCAGGTTTCAGGGGGTTCCTGAAACGGATCGGGAAGACTTGAGGAAGGTTCTCAGTGAGATCATCGCTCCAGTAGTAGGCTTAACAGCGGATGAACTGGTAAA